TTTTCCTGTTGAACTAGGGTATTTAAATACAAAAAATACGCCTGTCAAAGTCAATAGAGTTGAAGCTGCAAGATGCTCCAGGCTTTAACAGCTTTTAATCATTCAAGTGTAATTACATGAAGCCATAATAAAATAGATAGGAACAGGAGTGCAGAAATGTTCAAGACATATTAAAAATAATGCAAAGGGTTACCAATCGAGATTCTGTGCTTGTAGACATCAGGAAAAATACGTTGAAAAAATAATGTTGTAAATCTTACCATTATTTGTCAAATAAATGTGACTAACGCTTTTTGATTAGCCATAGTTCTGGTAGAATACAGAAAAAAAATTAAATCTGACAAAATCAGTAAGTAGTCAAATATTTGATAAGCTCTAAATTGCACAAAAATATCCTTCATCACATAAAACATTTTAAAATGAGCACTTCTCGAATATAGGGGTCACAGAGCTTAAATACTGTAGCTAAGGCATTCACATACATTATAAATGAATGCCGATTTGTCACTTACACATATGTAGCATCTCTTCATGCTACTAAAATTAACATTTGTCAGTGTTTTCTTTAGGGAACTTGGTTTAAAAAAAAACTCACTCAGGGCTGAAATTTGGACACAATCTAAACTGTTGGGTTGGAAAGAATTTTTTTCTCCATAATTCAGATGTTCTAATGTTATGGGAATTAAAGCATAGCAGTTACCACTTTCAGTTTGTGTCTTTGCAGTCAGAACATAAACCTTAAAATTAAACAGAAGCTTTCGCATGCGGTTATGTGGATTAGCCTGTGAGGTACTGGGTAAAATATTTGGAGGAGTTGTCACTGGGTCCAGGAAAGCAACCTCTCTCCATCACTGTCTGTATTCTTTTTTTCCAGAATGGTTGGCACGTGTTTATACTTGTAGAATGAACACGTAATCAAATCATTCTTGTCTCCCATTACGTGCTGACTGAGAAGGGAATAGGCTTTAAGCAGACTGTTTTATTACTGTATAATAAAGTGAAATAAATATTGGGTCAAAACCTAATTACAAATTTACACAAACTTTAATGGCTCAAAATGAGATAATATAGACCAGGAATGAGAAAGGGACCAGGTACTGGAACACCTACATTCTGATTCTGGTTTAATCCCTAATTCATAGTCTGATTTTGGAAGAAGTCATTTAGGGCTTAGGTCTTTCAGAGGTGCTGACTACTGTCCACAACTCCAACTGAAGAGGTTGCAGGTTCTTAGCATCTCTCAAAAGAGTCAGACCCTAATCTCTTTGCTTCTCAGTTTCCCCTATCTAGGAAAATGGGGAAAATACTGCCTACTTATATGCCTCACAAAGAATACCGAGTTAATGTTTGGGAAGTGCTTTGAAAATATGAAGCACTTTATTAGTGATATATATTATTACTTTCGATCCAGATCATCCCTTCCTGTGGGAGGTGGCAAAGGAAAATAAATCTGAGGTTTTCCTTACATGATTCCTTTCTATTGGGTGGGTGAGGGAGTTGTCCATTCATGGAATAGGCCCTGAAACCTCATAGATCAGGTGGAATCTACAGATATGTCTACACTACCTGCTGGATCGGCGGGCAACAATCGATCCAGTGGGAATCGATTTATCACATCTAGTCTAGATGCGATAAATCGACCCTGAACCCTCTCCCGTCAACTCCTGTACTCCAGCATTGCGAGAGGTGCAAGCAGAGTCGATGGGGGAGCGGCAGCAGTCGACTCACTGCAGTGAAGACACCACGGTAAGTCGATCTAAGTCGACTTCACCTATGTTATTCACGTAGCTGAAGTTGCGTAACTTAGATCGATCCCCCCCCCAGTGTAGACCAGGACTACATGATTTCCAGGGTATTGGCACTCAAGATACACTGACAAGGCTCCCAGAACCAGCAGTTGCCTTGGGAACTCCTTTTGAAGGCAGATATCCACTGAGGATAATGGCCATGGAAAGATATAATACTGATCCCCAAGTAGTTCTTTCTGGCCAGAGCTCAGCCTATGTGTTTCCATGCCCTAAGCCTGGATGTTCCCAGGACACCGTACCATTTGGGGAAAGAAGGCAATGCTACTACGGAGAAGGCCAAGTCACCCCGCACTTTCTGTGCAAGATGAGCAGATCCATGCGTTAGTTTGCCCCTGTGCACCAGCATGAATCTAAGGGTATGAGTGGGCCCAACTTTAAGGGAAATAGTATGAATTGTAGAAGTGGTTTGAATTTCTTTATACTTCCAAAGGATTTTTTTTTAAATAAACTAAGTTGTACATTATATACTGCATTAAAATAAAGTAATGAACAGGATTACATGCAGAGCAGCCTAAAGCAAGTGAAGACCAAGGGACAAACTGTGCAATGACATACATCCTGGGCAACTTTATGAAGCCAGATTCTGATCTCGCATGGGTAAAAAACTGAAGTCAGAGGGTTACACCAGATTTACACTAGTACAACCGAGATGAGAATCTGGCCCACTGACTTCAGTGAGGTTGCATAAAAGAGTTAGCACAGAATTTGCTGTGACTACCTTTTACTCACCCTGGTCTCCCTAAGTATTGGGCAATACAGAAAGATTTGGAATGCTCAGAAGTAAATGATATTAGGTGAATGACTATACCTAAGTACAACAGTTGACTGAAGGGTAATCTTTCACCCTCAATAATGAATAAAAAAAAAAAAAAAGGGTAAGGTCTGTCTTAGAGTGACAAAAAGAAATTTTGGGGTAAAGTAAATATTGACCCAAGTTACCAATTTTTATCTAATTGTAAAGATAGGTCCAATCAAAACTCTGGATCCATCCCCCTGAGTTTTTGAGAAGACTGTATCTAAATCTGAACTTTGACTTGGGACCATCTTAACTAATTGCTGTATTTTAGAAAATAAAAAGACTTCATTTAGGTTTTTTAAGTCAGAAGTTGATTAATTTGCTCTATTAGAGAGACAGTCATTGCATATGCACTATAAAGACCTATAGTCCATCTAAAATGTTACAGTGGAATCCTCTTATAGCAGAGTCATTTGTCCCCTACATAAAAGACTACTAGAAATGAAGATTCATCATGGACCCAATACTCAAAGCCTGACTCACACACATAAGTCTTTACTCCCAAGAGCAGTCCTACTAAACTGAATAGGAGTAAGGACTACTCATGCAAGTCAAGAATTGCAGGATCAGACTTTATATCTGAGTTCATACAAGAAGGCTCTAACATACAGTATGATGTATAATCCTTGCAGATAGTTTTTAGTTATCACTAGCTGATGCAATATGTGTATTTGTGAAAGTTAAAACACTTTAAACACCTCCAAGTGTTCTAATGACCATAAAGGCAAAAAA